AACTGTGATCTCTTGAAAGTAACTTGAAACTTGTTGGAATTGCATTAAAAATCACACTGCCTGCCTCAGTGCAATGTATCCAATTAAAACAGAAAACAGGATGAGGAGAACATAGCATGGAACTAGCATGTCTAGGAGCAGTAGGTCAGGGCCAAGAGTTTTCCTTTGATGAGTGTTCAGCTCGTTGTTTTCCATCAGGATACTTTTCAGCCTCTTTGAACCGTAGGATGTTTTGGTCTGTGCTTGCCATGTCAGATACATTTCATGTCTGATCAGTCAGTCAGCATACTACCTGGAATGTCAGTTCCCTGATAGGGCTCTTCTAGCTGTGGCTTTACATTTGCACGTGCTGTAACAGTGCTCTAAAGCTGAGTTTGTCAGCATTTTCACTGTAAATGTGATTTATCACTCTTCTCTAAAACTTAGCTCCAAACTGATCCAAGTCAAGGGACGAGTTTACTCACTGTGAGGCTTGCAGAAAAAATGTGACCCTAAATACAGTAATACTACTGCCTTTTGGTTCTTTAGAAAATAACAAAAGTGAGTAAATGTAACCAGATCTTGTGTTTATGTAGTACCAGCTGTGCTTGTTGGTCTGTTCTGGTCCAGCAGCTCCCTGTGTTTGCACCCTGGCTTTTCTCATATGTTTACATGAATCTCTGCTTTTCTCATGTGTTCAAAAATGATCTGGTTTCCCACAGTTGTAAAGCTTCACAGGCTGATATTTGGACCCTTACTTCCAGCTTGCTCTCATGCAGCACCTCTGATATTTGTAGGGTAACTAATTCATTCTGGCTTCAGAACACTGTGCACCAAACATGGCTGTCTGGGAGATTGGGGACTGACCATCAGATTGATCTGGCCCAAGATTTCTGGAAGATGTGTAAGGTTATGTGGCAGACAGGAAAGGCTCTATCAGGAGGCACAATTGTCAGTCCAGCACTGTGGCCTTTTTTGATTTGTGACTCAGTCCCTGCCAGGACTGCTACATCTATAGGATCACAGTAGTCTGGCATGGGTCTAAATCCAGGGAAGCCTGCTAATGAGACCCCTGTGAGTTCCAGAGATATGTGATTCAGTCAGGTTTCTTTGTTATCTAGTTCAGTTTCTAGAAAGAACCTGTTTGCAATTATTACAGCAGACTATTGACACATGTGTTCAGTTGTAGATATTGTAAGCTAGTTAGTAAAAATGAGTGCTCACTGTTAAGGGTCTCTATTGTAGGGAATAAAATGGCTGATGGAATTCAAAGTGGATAAAAGGGAAAATGTCCCTAAGAGATTACAGAATGATGGGCTCCAAACTGGCCACTGTCTCTTAGGGAGTCACAGGAGACTGCTTAGTGTTGGATGTCTGCCTCAGGAAAAGCTGATAGAGTGCCAGAAATTATTAGGAAAAGACTAGGCAGGAAACAGCCCTTGCACAGATTATGTTGCATCAGCATCTGCAGATGTAGTGGAAAGGACGGCAAGGATGTCTAAGTCATGGAACAGCAAAGGGATAAAATAGAGACGTTAGACATTTCCTCAGAAAAACTCAACACCTTTCATTGTATACAATAAGCTCTGTCAGAGCATCCAAATCTCTTAGATGCTCAGGTCTGAGGAGCTGCATTTGTAACTAATTCTGCATGTCATGGTATTGCAATGCTTTCTTTTGAACTGGTAGTGTTGTGCTTATTAGACCAGATTAGAAGATGTCTACCTTTGACGTCTCTTTCTGATCAATAAACAGAAATTATCCCTTCTGGGAAGTAATCTCTTTCATTCTAATGTAAATAGTTCATTTCCTGTCATCAGCTCTGAAAGGAGTCTAGGTTTTAGTGTCCTGGGTGTAGTGCAGGTTTCTCATGCCAAATGAGACAACCAGCACCATGGCTGTTCATGCTTTTGCCATCATTGGAGTGTATTGCTGCAGTACCCCTGGCTATAATTCATGTTTAGATGAGGTTAGTTTGCCCTTAATTTATGTGTATTAAAATATCTAATTTATGTGTATTAAAATATCTGTACCTGGTTGATTGGTGTAAGGCTCCAGTTCTGCTGACAGAACCAAGAACATCTCTGCAAGCTTCACTCCGAGGCCAAGTTAGCTCATCCTGAAATAAACCTTGTAAATTATTACAGATGCCAAAGTAAAGTGAGGGAAATAAATGCAAAATAAAGACAAGGAAAGGGATACTTCTAGTGCTTAGTGATAGGATATAAGATGGAAACTCTAGTACTCAGTTTGAAAGTGCTGTAGCTAGGTTTTATTTACTAAAATTTGTTTTGCATGATCTGATATCACATCTCTGCTTTCAAAAGCATAGTACCTGAAGTGAACTTTAAGGCTGGCAGTCATCCACTTCACTGCAATTCCTAGGTACTGGTACGGCACCTTGAGTTCAAAGTTTGTTTGTTTTCTTAGTCTTCCATGGCCCTGTGGTCTCTAGCACATTTTTCCTCTCCTTGGACATGTTGTGTAGCACGTATTTTTGGGATAGATTCACACTGAGATTGTAATTATCCTACATACTTGTGGCCTGGCCTGGTATTATCCATCACAATACTGTCATGTGCTGGGCATTGACAACGTACTTAAAAAGCTATTTTTTACGTGATATAACTAGCATGGTGAGTAATTTTCTTGTGGTATGAAGGAAAACTTGCCAATGCTTTCAGTTTCCAGAAGTTTGTTTATTTAGCAGAGGGTGCTGCCTTTGCAGGCAGACAGTCTGAGCTGCACGTTCTTTACAGGTCCTTCTTTGCTCTATGGGAATGTGAGTAAAAACTGCTCACTTGGAAAGTCTAAAAAGGTTTATTAAACCTTAACAAAAATACAATGAAAGGACTACATAAGGAAAAAGCTGCAGTGCTGGGAACTGCCCCTTGTGCACACCACGTGCCCAGTTCATCTTCCAGATGGATGCTCAGGGTTTTGTACCCCTGGGGTTGCACCAGCCAGCCCTGGCCCCTCCCAAAGTCTGTCAGTCAGCTCTTCTTGACCATTTATCAGTGGAAACTGCTTTCTTATTACTGGATTGGAGGTCAGGTGTTGCCATGCTGCTCCCCCTAAGCACCAAGCTTTTCCATTCCCAGCTGCCCCATGCCAGGGACACCTGTGCAGCTTCTTTGTACCTGTGCTAGACAGCCCAGGCTGTCTGATGGCAACAATACAGGGGGGAAAGGGAGCTGTGGGGAGAACAGAGGACATCTAAACTACAATAACATAACTATACAGCACTAAAGCTTTTCTTAATATTCACACAATAGTCATACCTTAATTGCGAGAGCCAATCATCTCATTATCCATCTATAACAGGAAGAATGGGGTGAAGCAAATGATCGCAAAGTATGTTAACAAGTAATAGCATGGTCTAATCCTTTCACCTCATTTCAGCTTCCCTTTCCAGTCCTGGTGGGAGACACTGAGCTCAGCATCCCCTTGCAGCTCCAGCTCCTGTAGTCAGGCACTCATCCCACATTCAGATTCCCGTTTCACTCAGCCACCGTGGGAGCGTGCTCTCACCTGCTTGGCAAAGGATTGCTGCTCCCCATTGCTGCTCTTCTTAACTTCTGCTTTTTAAATCATCCCAACTTTGTGGCAGCTTATTTGTGCTCTGCAGCACTGCAAGGGACACCTGCTTTGCATTGAGTTTCCTTCCCCAGGCTGTGATTCACTTGCTTGATTCCCTTTCAGACAAACACGCCGTGGTGCTTGGAGATTATTTGATTTCTGCATTTGAAAGGGCTTCTCTTAATGGTATAATGGTGACCTGCTGGTTGCCTGTAAAATAATGCTTTTCTCAGCTGCTTGTGCTCAGCACATTGTCTGTGTCACCCAAAACCCCTACACAGTGGAGAGCAGAGCCTGACACAGCTGAGTATTCCTACTTATTACATTGCTGAGGTCCCCACCAGGGCAAAAAAATTACACGGTGAGGTTTCAAGTAAAACAGATGAAAATGGGGAGAGGGGAAGAAAAAAAGACACCACGTAAAGAGGGCTGAGCAGAGTGTCAGGGTTTATGGACAGTCCACTAAAAGCTTATCTGCTACATTTTTGCCTGTTCCAATTACAGAGTTAGGAAGTTTCCTCACAGTTTCAAAGATTCAAATTCTTGTGAAATTCCCATTTCTATACCTGGTGGAATGAACTGGGCAGCAGTCATTGGTGCTGTGCTGGCCTGGCCTCATCAGTGACCAGCAAAAGTTACCTTGTGTCAGTCAAGGAGCTACAGGCTCTGCAGATTCTATACAACCCCTAAAGTCTGTCTATGTCCCCGTTCTTATGTGGGTTTGTGTTTTTCCCTTGTAACTCCATGGTAACAGATTTTTTTAGATATACCATTTCAGATTACAAACCCGAGGTATTCTCTGCAAAATCCCATTTCCCAGGCATCTCTTTTAGGATGGGTGGGATTAACAATCTTTAGAACAACACTTTGTTAAGTGATGTAGAAGTGCACAGCTGCTTCCTCCAGTCCCAGCCCAGGACCCCTGCCCAGCTGCTGGAGCCCTCCTGGACCTGGCTGCCACTTTGTCATGTGCAGATTGAGCCAGCAGCTGAGCCTGTGTCCCAGGGGCACACACACAGTAGCTCTCCAATTTGTGTGAGTGCTGAGGTTTGCTTCTGCTCATGTTCTGCGTGTTTGCTCTGTCAGGTTTGTGTCTCTTGTACATTTTGATTCTGGTTTCTCCTCCTTTGCCCATCTTATTCCAATGTCCCTGAACAGACCACCTTGCTGGAATAGAAGTTCTCATACCTCTAAATGCCCTCATCCAAGTTCCCATCAAATGCCTCTTCTAACTGTTTTAGTTTGTGGACAGGTATCTTTTATTTTGTCTTGTGCTTTAGTAGGATATGCGGTGGATATTTCTCCCCCTGCTTTCTTAAAAGCAAATATGAAGAGTTTGTGTATGTGCCCTAGGACTACTTCTCATGCTGGAAACTTGATTCTGAAATGCCTGACAAAGCTGCTTGAATTTATTGAAAAACTTGATTTTCCTCTACACACAGATCCTAATATGGTCAATGCAGGAGACATGAATGGTTCAGGCAACCTGATGGATTTTCTGGATGAGCCTTTCCCTGATGTTGGAACTTATGAGGATTTCCATACCATCGACTGGCTGCGGGAGAAATCGCGTGACACGGATCGCCACCGCAAGGTACCCGTGCCAGCTCTGATGTGTCACACCCCTGGGCCACAGCCATCCTGGCAGTGACAAAACCAGTGGTTTTCCAGGGTTACTGCTTCCTACCTTCTTGGAAGAGGAGAACTTCTAAACATATAGATGTGGGATGAGTTGAGGAGAATTTTAAAATTTTTAAATATATGCACATGGGATGTCCTGAATTTGTAAGTATCCCTGCAGCTGAGCATCTCTGAATAAATTATTAGGACTGAAGGAAGTAGGGAATGGAAAAATGTTATGCACCATCTAGGAGTTTAATTATTTTAAACTTTGTACTCTAAAACTGTCAACCTGAATCAACAAAACATCTATATGTGTGTTTAATTTCAGATTACAAGCAAAAGTAAAGAATCCATATGGGAGTTCATCAAGAGTTTGCTGGATGCCTGGTCAGGATGGGTTGTCATGCTTCTCATAGGACTGCTGGCAGGTATGTATGTGTTAGTGCTACAGCTGTGCCTGAAGCATCTCACTCCAGCTGCTGCACCACCATCTGCTTCTCTTTGTACTTCATTGTCTCTCCATTGATTTTTTGTTTTTAAGCTAAAAAGACAACTTGCATTCATGCAGTTATGATTCTAAATAAAAATACCCACTTGCAAAGTCTCCTTTTGAGTGCTGACCTAGAAAAAATGTTTTCACCAGCAGAGGGATTTTTCTATTGCTTTGGGAAATCTGCATTTGAGTGCTTCATAGTCAATGGGCTGCTTTGACTTTCTGAATCTTTGCTTTGCAGAAGTAAATTTTATTTTTAGGATTTTTTTTCCTTGTCATCACTTTAATTCTACAAGTCAAAAATATGATGTGGGGAAAATATTGGTTGTGGACACTCAAAGGGGGGCTTTATAAACTGCTATTTCCTCTGGGTTATCTTCTTTATGTATGCATGAAGGCAAAATACAGATTCAGACTTGGTTTCAGATCTGCTTCCATGCCAGACAGACATTACATATTCAGCAGCCTGCTCAAACTCACATGGCAAATTCATTAACTTCCTCAATTGTTCCTGTCTTCTCCTCAGTTTAGCACATCTTCCTGCCTGGAAAGCTGCACTTCTCTGACCCAGCTCAGACAGCTGCCATTTCTTGTGCTTTTTCAGTGATGTCAGGGTGCTCCTGTGTCATGCTGCTTGCTGAAAGCACCATGTCAAGTTTCCCAGTTTCCAAGGGGTGATGGGAATTTCCTGCTCAGCATCTGTCAAGTTAATATGTTCATTACAGTTGTTAGGAGCTTCAGAAGCGCTGGTAAAGTTCTTGAGAAAACATTTCTGAAGTGATGTGTTTGGCAAATTATGTAATTTCATAGACTTGTAATTGTTTCCACAAAAACTTGGTTGGGAGAGTGAGATGGGAAGAGAGTCTGATAGACTGTGTACTACCAGGGCTGCTGAGTCCTGCCTGAAGGCCAGGGTTGGTCTCATCTGGGATGAAGAATTCTGCCTGCAAATAAAGTTAGAGCGAGCCCTTGAGGGCTCTAGTGACCTCAGTAATCCTCCCCTCATACAAAGAATGTGGTAAACATGCACACATTCCCGTTTTAGTATAAACATCCCAGAAGGTTTTATTCAGTTCTAATTTGCAATGAAACCTCGTGCTGAATCCTCAAGGCTGTTAAAAGCCAGAGTCACTGTCCTCTGATAAGCCCTAACATTGATATGCCCAGCCTGGGATGGGGGTGAGGGTGAGTTACAGCTGAGATCTGGCAGCTTTTGCAGCCTTTCCAACAGCAAGGGTGCAGACCAACATGTTTTACCTCAGAGAGTGAAACCAAATTAGTCAGGTATCTTAACCAGATTTGGGGAGGGAGGAGATGGTGGTGCAGTCAAGAGGCACTTTGTGTTGTTTTCCTCTCTTTGTACAGTATTGCCTGCTCAGAGAAGAAAGTGGCATCTGTATGATTAGACGGGATTGCAGGGACCAGCCTGGCTCCTCCATGGCCCCTCCTCTGCTGAACAGGCAGAAGCTACTCCTGCTCCAAGGGGAGCAGCCTGGCTCTGGATGGACCTTGGGTGAACCCTTGAGCAGCTGGGTGCAGGCATTACCAGAGGCAAGCAGAAAGTATGGCAAGGAGTGGGAGAGAAAGGGAGAAGTGGCAGCAGCAGTGCTCAGGCCATCAGAGTCCCATGGAGCATTCTGCCCCTGCTGTCCCTGTGCTGGCCATGGAGGACAGCAAGGTGGGACTCTTGGGAAGAGGCTGCCAGGGCCTTCCACAAGTTTCCAAAAGCACTTGGGTCATTTACCCACACCCAGGAGTTTAAATGGAGTTAACTGATCTAGAAGCCTAAATCTCATCAATTTGGTAAACTTTATCTTTCAGATTTTGTAACACCTAAAAGGCTGCACCTCTACTGCCAACACAATCCAACAAGGCCAAAAGGAGCAATCCTTGTTCTCCAGTGCATTTGTCACTGGGCCCTGTAGCCCTGTGCATGTATAGCTGCACTGGGCAAGAGAATGTTGGTTCTGACTTCCTAGAAAAAATGGATTTTGGCCAAATTAGTTTTCAGTTGATTTGTGGGCTCAGCAGTGCTAGTCACCGCAGAGCAATAAACAAACAAAATATTGCTGATGGAGGCAGGAAGGAGAGGATCATCCTATTTGGCAGTATGATACATATATCATACATATATATATTTTTTTTTGGTTGGATTTTTTCTGTATTTTGTTAGTTTTGGACTGTCATCAAACCTGCATCTTTTGTTAGTCCCAGAAAAGTGTAGGTGGGAAAGAGATGTCTGGAGCGGGTTCTGCTCTGGCTTCCTGCTCACAGCAGAGCCAGCTTCAAGATTACAGATAACACCAATGTATATTCAGAATGTAACACAGGCACTGGGATCATATCATAGTTTCCTGTGTGAGTGTGCACACATAAATTAGCCTGAGCAGAGTCCCTCACTGCCTCCAGTCTGTGGCAAGTACCCACAGGACCTTGAACCTCAGGCTGGAGGGAGATGATGGTGTATGACACAGTCAAATGGCAGGAAGGGCACTGAGGAGCTCCTGGAAATGAGGCTTTGATAGCCAAAGCCTGCTAATTGCAGAGAAAAGGGAAGGAACAGTGAACCCCAGAAATGTTTGGTGAAGACTGTTTACATAATGGTCTAGAAAACGATACTGAACACTGCCTGGGCCTGTCTCAGTCAGTTTCCATGCTTTCCTCATATAAAGCAGTGCATGGGGAGTGAGCCTAAAAATTTACATATGGATGCCAAAATTTTAGGCATTTGTTTTTAAGGAACTGAATTTTGCTGGGCCCATCCTGCCTGCAGACCAATGGCTGCTCCTCAGCCTAACCCTTACTACTGGCTAACTGAAACATATGCTCTTTATAGATCATAAAGTGTCTGTGTTTACTAAAGCTATGTTACAAAAAGTGCCATCATAGTAGTGCTGAAATGCTCTGAGGCTGAGGCTGGATGTGCATGAATTCCCTTTAATTCTGTGCTGCACCACTTGGGTGATGCTGTTTTCTGACACTGGTGCAGGAAGAAAAGCATCTTTTCAAAGCAAATCTTTAGCATTCTCATTAGGGCACTGTAAAGGAAGAATTTGCCATCATCTGCAGAAGGAAAAGCAGAGAGGTAAGAGGCTAATATCTAAAATGAGGTTCAGCATTGTCTGGCTTTGGAGTACTTTGTTATTTTTCCTTCCAGGCAGGTTACATGGAAGGGGAAACAAAGTCAGCTTCTTTGATGGGAGAAGCAGGGAGATAAATTTATGCTCTATTAATGTCTTGGCAGCCAAAATAAGCACAAGAAATTAAAAGCTTGACCTTAAGATGCTGAACTGTCTAGCACCTTCATTAATTTCACTTAAAGTTGCAAAAATTCAGAACTTGAAAAACTCCTAGCTCTGGTCACGCAGGTGGTGAAGCATTCACTATTGCATTATTATCCTGGGTCTCCTTATGATTTTCTTCTCTTGAAGGCTGGTGTAGTAAATTGCATGTAGTAAAAAGCATTTTCCTCCTTATGTGGATCCCCAAGAATTTGACAAAGTGATTAGATCAGCTCTATAATTAAGCACATTGTGTTACTGGTGCTGAGGTGTCTATTATATTAGAGAACTGAATGTTTGTTCTTCAGTATGGTTATGAACTTTATTGGGGAAACACATTCTTCCTTTGCACTTTTTGCTAGGTAGCATTAATATGCACCTTAATATGGTTAAGTGTAAACTTTGAAAGTTACAGAGAATGTTAAAGATCCATCAAGAGGTGCAAGAGGCACAGCATTTGGTGCTCATGTCCAAGAGATGAAAATTCCTTGTTTCTGAAACTTTCAGGAAGTTGTAGGAGAATTCAGAGCTCACTGCAAAGCAGGAAGCTTTGCCTGCTGCTGTTGCCAGCAATGCAATGATTCATCGACATCTAGCAGGATGGTTCATTGTTTCCATAGAAACTTGGGAAAAATGGAAAAGAATAATCAAATTAAGGCAAGATCTTAATGAAGGAAAAGAATTGTTAAAGACATCATCACTCCCTTCTGCAGCCTTTTTTTTTGTGTGTGTCATCCTGTCTAGAATATCTGTATAGTGCTTCAGATTATTTTTATAATAGAAATTCTTATTATTTTTTAACAGAATTATTTTTTAACAGAATTATTTTTTAACAGAAGTTCTTCACTGCTACCCTGAGCACCACTGCTTGTCAGTGTGGGGGCAAGTATCCTTCTTAAGGGTGGGAGAAGAACCCCTGTGTTTTTTATGGTCTTTGGAGGGAAAAAAAGGGTTCTTGAATTATTTGAAATGTGTTTTCCTCCTGTCTCTTTTACAGAAATGAAAATCAGAAAACTTTAATTCCAGATGAAATAAACCAACTCTTGGACCCACTTGTGTGCCCCAGCTGCTGGGGGGAAGGGAGCAGCCCCCAACCCTGCTTCATGTAATTGCATTTTTAGCAGGAGACACAAATCTATAAGTTTTGGAAACATAAAACCAAACCAGTTTGCATTTTACAAAGTGTTTTTCCCCCAGTACATTGATATGCATTGATGAATTCTGTTCCAATCAATTAGCAGTCTCCTGGAATTTTATTAATGAGTATTTGTAAAATAATGATGACTTTTGCTTTCCATTGCATATGAGAGGGATCTGGAAAATACTAAATGACTCTTCTGTCAGTTGGTGGTTTAATTCTTTCCAGAAAGTATGGATATAGGGACAGCACACAGGTCTGCCTCTCTATGTTCTGGCTGCTCCCAGCCTCCCATTCCTGCTGCTCTTGCATTCCAGGGGACCCACCTGCTCTGAGGGTGCTGTTGCTGGGACAGGTTATTATTGCTGATGAGCAAGTGACCTAGAGAAGCAGAAATTTTCTTTCTTTGTGTCTGTGTAGACACAAAGTTTGCCTGTGTCTGTTCCTGGTGGCCAGCGGGTGTCACTGTAGCTCTGTGTAATTACCGGGGAGCAGCTGAAACAAGCGCTGTGGTACACGGAGGACTTGAAGGATTTTATTCTGCATGTCCCGATTGCTAATCACTGTACACACTTATCAAAAACCCCATTCTGTTAAGTTCATAAGTCAGAATATGGCATTATGTTGTGTCTGTAATGAAAGGATCCTTCTAAGAAGTTGCTGTGCTGGGACCAGTAAAGCTGTACATAAACACAGATGTCCTTCTCCTCCCTTACCCCTGAAATGCACAATAAGGTTTATACACATGGTCAGGTGTGTGTATAGAGACCCTGCACGATGTCTTCCCTCCCTCCCCATCTCAGCCAGATGGGGAACCTGCCTGGGACAAGCTGCAGGCCTGCATTGGTTATATCCCCCCTAGTTGGCCATCAGTCAGTATGAAAATTATAATGTTTGAAATAAAAGCCTATGAGAGAGCACTGAAGGTCAGAAAAACTTGCTATTTCCCCCAGTTCTTTGGCATGTTTGCATTTATTGATGCAGAGAATGGTTTGGGTTGGAAGGGGCCTTTAAAGGCCATCCTGTCCTTCCTGCCCTTGAATGTTTCCAGGGATGGGGCATCCACCTCTCTGGGCAACCTGTTCCAGTGTTTCACCACCCTCATTGTAAAAATATTTTTCCTTATACTTAGTCTAAATCAACCTCTCTTAGTTTGAAATTGTTCGCCCTTGCCCTACTGCAGCAGGCCCTGATAGAAAGTCTGTCCCCTTTTTTTTAATAAGCCCCCTTCAGGTGCTGGGAGGCAGCTGGGAGGCTGCTTCTCTTCTCTTCTCCAGGCTGAGAACACAGCCTTACATTGTGCCTGCTTACCCAAATCATGGCTTTTAATATACTATTAAAATTAGATATTTTAAGTCCTTGCAACCTGATTGTTTTTAGGTTGCAAGGACTTAAATTGTTTTTCCTGCGGTTTTTTTTTTTCCCCCAGGTACATTGGCTGGAGTGATAGATTTAGCTGTGGATTGGATGACAGACCTGAAGGAGGGTGTCTGTCTGTCTGCCTTCTGGTACAGCCACGAGCAGTGCTGCTGGACGTCCAACGAGACCACGTTCGATGACAGGGACAAGTGCCCCCAGTGGCAGAAATGGTCGGAGCTGCTCGTGAGCCAGTCGGAGGTATGGGATGAGCTTGGGGGCACAGCACAGGCAGTGCCCTTCTTCATAGCTGCTGATGGTCCCTCCAGAGAGTTTCCCTGAAAGAGCAAGCAATGAACTGAGCACACTGCAGAAAAAGACATTTCCACAAGCAATATCTGCTTAACTTGAAGGAGGTCCTGTGGTTTCAGTGCAATGGAAACTGGAAAACTGTGAGATTGCACTCTCTTTTTAAACAGTATTAAACTAAAAGTGTTTCATAACACACATAGCATAATCACCAGGGGGCCTGAGCTGCATTTTATTTTTTTCCTTTTAAACATAATTTTATGGGACAAAAAAAAAAAAAAGATGAGCACTGACAAATACATTTATGAGGGTATTTTTGGGATTGCAGATGGGGTTTTATGTATTCTAATACAGGGAGCTGCATAAGAACTGCTTGTTTATCCCTTTCAATCAGTCTCTCTATGACACATCAAGAGACTTAGCTAGCACCAAATCTGGGGAAAGAGTGGACTCCCTGGGGGTCACCACAGTGAAGGATTTGCAGGGCTGTTGGACAGGAAGGTAAAAAGCTGATGTTTTACCAGACATGAAACTTATATTTTCAGATTTTTTCCCCTTCCTTTTTTCTTTTTCATAATTATAGTAATTTTAAATACAAAGAATGCTGTTTCACAGCAACGCAGGTGAAATTTCGTTTTGAAAACAATAAAAAGAAGCCTTTCTGTACACCATTTGGCAGATAATTCCTGTAAAAAATACAAAAAACACATTTCATTTTCAACCTAAGTTATTTAATGTATTGAATAATATTGATCCCTTCACAACTCAAATCTTTGGCAGAATTATTGTCTCAAATCCCTCCTTCCTCCTTATTTCTGACTTGAATTTGGCAAAAGCTGAATATGATGAGTGAGTGGGTGATCTGGAGAGGTTGTCTCAGATCTTCCCCTCAGTGTGGAGGTTGTCTGGTCCTGCAGACAGTGTTTGAGGTCACCTTCATTGCCAGGCAGGTGTGTCATTCATGCTCCCTTCAGTGCTGCTTTAGCTGTACAGGACAAGAAGTACAAGGTGGGAGTGTCTGCGCATAGGTATAGCTCCATTTTCTGTAGTTCTAATGAACCCCAGGGGAAGCAGTGGGGTGCTCACTGGCAGGTTGCCAGTCACAGTGCTGAGCTTCCCTTTGCCAGAGGCTTGCTAGGTTCACCCTGGTCTTCATTAACTGAGCAAAATTTTGTATTTCAGTTTGCCAGACCAAGCAATATTTCAGATCTGGTGTCAGTCCAGTTTAGATACAAATGGAACACAATTGAAAAGAACCCTCACAAACTCAGACCACTGAAATAAACCCCATCCCTCAGGATGCTCTCCAATGTGTGGTTACTGCAGAGGCCCAGAGCCCTGCTCTGACTCCATGGGGATCTCACACTTTGCAGACTCTCTCCTGTGGATGTTACAGCTGGTAACAGCTGTTTGGGGTGTCTTTGTGAAAGTGAAGAAATATTACCCTGATACAAAGCTACAGCATGGGGCTCATGTAATGTAAGAGAACAAGAACAAAAAAAAAAACAAACCCCAAAACAAAAGCAAAACCCCCCTAACAAAACAAAAAAACCCAAACCGAACAAAAAACCCAAAGACCAAAACAAAACGTGAGAAGGGAAAAAAGAGGAAACTGTTACAATTATTAGGGGATTTGGAAATCCTGTACATGTGTTTGTCATTCTGTTACTTTGGCTGGAATAGAGGAAAGATGCATGTCCTTGAGAAAATTTATTGCTTTCTTCTGCTTCTCAAAACCAGCAGTCATGACTGTTGCGTGCTGTGGCCTTTAGAAAAGCCATCAGCCAGGTGAGCACTGTGAAACTTCATCACTTTGTGTTCAAATTGAGCTTCTCACGTCCTGCTGTACTGTCATAGTAGGACAAAGAAGAAAAGGTTCATCTTGGCTTAGTTTTAGTTACTTTCCTAAAACAAATGTGCCTCTAAGATCTGTGGGTTCCTGAGGGTCTGCTGGAGGCTGTAAATATTATTAATATACCTGTCTGTTACTGTTACACTGAAATCCCAGGGAAAGCCCAATAAAAATGTAAATTGGAAAGGAAAAATTCAGTTTTGTTCGAAAGACTTCTGTTCAAAAGGCTTATAATTTGGGCAAGTTTTGTGCTGTATGGTTCCTGTAGAGGTAGAGGATTTTAGGAGGTATAAAAAGACACTGAACTTGACTGAGTTTCAGAATATATACCTGTCTGTTACTGTTACACTGAAATCCCAGGGAAAGCCCAATAAAAATGTAAATTGGAAAGGAAAAATTCAGTTTTGTTCGAAAGACTTCTGTTCAAAAGGCTTATAATTTGGGCAAGTTTTGTGCTGTATGGTTCCTGTAGAGGTAGAGGATTTTAGGAGGTATAAAAAGACACTGAACTTGACTGAGTTTCAGAATAATTTTGCTGGTTTTTTTCCTATGTTTCACTTTGTGCCTGACATTTACAGAAGAGCCCTATAAAACAACAGTGCTCATTGGAGCACGATTTAGGCAAAAAGTATTTGGAGCAGTTTCCCTAAAGGTACTCCGGTCTGACATGCCTTCTTTTTTTATGTATAACTGTGATTCTTTCTTGTCATAGCCAACTAACTTTGACATTTTGAGGACTGAAATTTAGATCAGTTCTTCCTTGTGGTTTTGCCAATTTATGGCTGTGATAAACCCTGTACATACATTTTCATGGAGAATTGTGACTTTTCCTATGGCATCTCTTGAAAAATGTTTCCATTCTAGCGGTCCCATAAAATGAGCCCAAAGCAGAGACTTGCTATAAATTATTATGGAAAACATAATAACCCATTAGACACCTACCAAGCTATGCTTTCTTCCCTAATCATTGTTTGGTAGGCCAATTATCCTTCACCCTTCTGGTCTGGAACTACTTTTGAAGAGGAGGTGAAGAGGGTTTTTTGGTGTGAGGGAGTTTCAAAACCTCAAATTCACTGGCAGATCAAAAGGTCATCAGATGTCACTGGTGATCTGGACTTTCCCTGTTCTGCAGATTGAGTTTGGTCCCAACCCCAGCTTCAGTGGAGCTGAGGACCCCATTTTTGGTGGCTTGCACGTGTCCAGTGTAAGGATAGAGGTTTTGATGGCTGGACACATGTCCAGGGTAGAGGAAAGGACCCCATCTCTCCATGGATCATGACACTGGATCCAGCAATGGACTGAATTCCTATCCTAGGGCTTCCGGATCTCCTGTCATGAAGCTGAGGGCTACAGGACAAGGAAGCCTCTCTAGACCTGGAACCCACTTCTCACTTTTGCAGCCTTGAGGACACACCCTGCTGTAACATCCACAGGAGAGAGTCTGCAAAGTGTGAGATCCCCATGGAGTCAGAGCAGGGCTCTGGGCCTCTGCAGTAACCACACATTGGAGAGCATCCTGAGGGATGGGGTTTATTTCAGTGGTCTGAGTTTGTGAGGGTTCTTTTCAATTGTGTTCCATTTGTATCTAAACTGGACTGACACCAGATCTGAAATATTGCTTGGTCTGGCAAACTGAAATACAAAATTTTGCTCAGTTTTCCTTCTTGCTTCATTACTATTGCTTCCAGGGTGAGTCTTTTGAGCTATCATGGCAAAGGTCATAGCAGGATCAGCTCTGCTGGTGATCTGCTTCAGCCTCTGACTCCAGTGTACATGCTCAAGACTTTCACTGATTCAGAGCCTTAGTAATGGCATGTAATGGATGAGAAATGAACCATTTGCTATACTGAGTTACTGCTACTTCACTTCCCAAAGGTTTTCATATTATTAATCATTAGAAGCTGTTGCAGTTGAACCTGCAGAATGCCAGATATCTGGAAAATGTAACAATGAGAGATGTCCCAAGGGATAAGATTGAACTGGCCATACAGACCCTTGTGGGGTCCTGCCACAGCACTGTAGGTGTATGTGTGACTGCAGTAACGAGCTGACAGAGGTTTCTTATGACTTCTGAGATGCAAAGAAGAAGAAGAAGTAAAAAGAAACAAATTTAATTTTTCTCCAGTGAATTTAGAAGCAAAACTACAGCTTCTACTCAACCCTAGAAGGGCCAAATTTTTGTAATCATGTTGGCCTTCTTTGGAGGTATTCCAGGTTCACACTGACAGGAGGATTCTGCCCTGAGGCAAGATATCCAGAGTTTTCTCTAGAGGAAGAGTAAATATTGTCATAGCTGTTTGTAATTGAAAGCACTAGGAGAAGACATTCATGAGACTGTCTTCAGCTGTAGCAACAAAGGCCCTTGGTTACCACAGCCAGATGTCAATCACTGCCAGTGTGGGATCCCTGACTGCTCAGTCCCAGGGCTTTGGGGGATAGCCCTGTATTGCTTCAGGATTCTGCTGTCATCAGCAAAGCCAGCTGCTAACTTCAGCAAGCACCAGCTTAACAAAATGCCCTTCCTCCAGATACAGCCATAAGGATAAGGGTTAGTGGTATCCTTACTGGATTTTCATTTGGACACACCTGAAAAATGAAGCTAGCAAACATCCATGCTATTAAAAGTTTATTCCTTGCAGATTTGAAAACAGGGAGACTTCTCATCTCTTAAGTTTTTTATGACTGGGAACAAGGTTTGGCCAGCTCTGTTGACTGATACAATTGATTAATGCCTGTTTTCCTCCTTGATTTATCATAATGTTGATATCCAGGCTGCTGTCCTGCAGAGCAGAGGCAGGGGCCCTGATGCTCTCGAGCAGCTGGGATTGCATCCGGTAGGAAGAGTTCACGTAGAGGTGAAGGATTCATACCAATTCATGCACTGAGATCCATCTCAGTCTTTTATTCTCTAGTGTCATGTTGCTGCAGGATATTGTTTGAAGGCTTAAGCTCCTTGTATTGATTTGATGCTGCTGAGTAGATTGTCTTTTGTCCATGTAGGTGGGTTTTTGAAATGAATCTAAAAAATATATGCATGTGAAGAGGCAGAGGTATTCCAAGGCAGATTTTAACAAAGGTTTTGACTTGATCATTGGAAAAAGGTAGAAACTTGAAGGTTACTATTGACTATGCTTTCACCATGGCACTGCACAGTCAACCATTGCTAATGATCATTAGCATTCCCATTCTGTTAGAAAAGTAAAGCTAAAAGCTATTCAGTTTGAAAATAGTAATTTTTGCCCTAATATTTTAAAATTGTTCCAGTCAGTAATAAGCTGAGATGTGTGGGAGGGTTCTGCCAAGCTATGATGTTTCCAAATTATTTTCAACCCTTTCGTGGACAGCATTATATAGAAAGAAATTATTTTTGTATGGTTTTACACTTCCTGTTTGTGAACTGGACTGGCTACTGATACACACAGGGATGTTTTTGAAAAATCAGCATCTGCATGGAGAACTGACCTTTGAATACCAGCCCTGGGAAAAATTCCCATCAGGGTCTCATTCCTTGTCCCCCACCATGGGATGAACACAGCAGATTCCTTCATTAGGTGCCTTTTCATTACCTATTGCTTTTGCCCTTATGGTGCTTTTGTTTGATGTTTTGGAACCTTATGTGGGTTAGTTGGATTTTTTATTGCTCGAAAGATGCTCAGTTTAAGGTATTTGGGTCCCTTGCAAACAGACTGTGTGGACTGGGTTAGGTATTTATTAGTACGCTGCTTCTTTCCATGAGTAATAAAATTGTTGGAGTATATAAAACTACTTGTCCTTCCTGAGGAAAAGCAGCACTTACCATGTAAATGAGAAATCAGGCTCCATGCCATCATGATTACTAGTAGAAGTGTGAGATTTGCCAATCTGCATTTGTCTAACAATGTTTGTTACTGTTATTTTTCTAGGGTGCAAGTGCTTACATTCTAAACTATTTTCTGTACATTATGTGGGCTCTATGTTTTGCTTTCCTGGCAGTCTCCCTGGTCAGAGTGTTTGCTCCTTATGCCTGTGGCTCTGGAATCCCAGAGGTGAGTTTCCCTTTGTGCATGAATATCAAAAAAACTCCAAACCACAACAACAAAAAAATGACTGTCTTTTCCCATTCCAGAACTGTACTATGGGATAGCATAGCAACAAAGAAAATTGTCTTTCCATCTCATCTGCCTTCATTCCTTTTTTTATGCTTTTATGGTGATCATCATTTACTACTTTCATAGTAAAAAGTGCTCATATGTCACTGTGACAGGTTAATGCATGTACTTGTTCGTTGCCAGAGTGTGAATTAAAAATCAACATCTCCAAGAGACACACTCACTAGAAGATTATAGAGAATTTTCCTAGGATGAAATTACTTGGGCCAGTTACAAAACCAGTTATTTTCTAGGCTAGGCTCTAAATAAAAGTGAAATAAAAAGAAGAGGGTGGGCTACAAAGCTAAGGTTTCCTAAACTGCTGAAGATGCCCATCATTTGGGATGCCTGAAAAGTGTCTGGTGCACATCTTTTGCAAATTGTTTTCCTAAAGACAGAGTAATGTACATTGTGCCAGCATGACAACATTATAGCAGCCAAAATATGTACTTGGTTTTCAGTATTTTACATATTAAGCCTCAGTCCATATTTAAGCTGTTGAATGAAGAACCTTGTAATTCAACCAGCAGAGTTATTAAAAGTCTTTGAAATCAGGGCAGTCTCTTGTTAGAAGTGCTATGGAACTACTGGAATTATTGTTTAGGAATGTGGCAGACAGAATTAACAGCCCAAAGCTTAGAAATCTTGGCGTACTTTTGCTCTTGATCTCTAAGAGAAGCATCCAAATGTTTCAAAAAAACTCACCACAAATAATTTAAAATATTTGAATAATTTACATGTTTGAAAGTAGTTATGTGTGTCTTTGTTATGTGTTTGATATATTTGTGGTTTTAAAAAGTTCTCATAGTTAACTACAAAGCCAGTTTCCAAGTGGTAAATCCCTCCTGTGAGGTGAGGCTCAGCTCCAGCCCATTTGCATGCATGGAGTCCAAACCCAAATCCCACCCTGCAGCCTTTGTGTCATGCACAAGCATTGTGCTTTCTGAGCCACACACTAGCAAAATTAAGACAAAATGTTTAGAAATATGATCTTTTGGACTTTCTTATTTCGGAATATGTGCATGCTTTTATGGCACAGTGATTCCAAATACCTAGAACTTTTTTTGTGCATTTTATCTGGAAAAAGTCTGTTGTTGTTTATTTGCTTTTTTTCTGCTTTGCTAAACTCAAATCCAGCTTAACTCTGATCTTGTAAGGCAAGGAGATATGTAAGAGTTTCATATTTCTATTGATCTCTGTGAGAGTCCTTACTGCCTGTTATGGGGACCACCCGTAACAGCAGTAAAAGTGTGGTCTGCCTAACCCCTGCTCAGATATTGCTGTGGGAAAGATGCCCTACCTACAGTTTCTTTCTCTCCATCACTGTCTCTTTTCAAGCAGTCTGCAACTTTTTAAACTCTGCTGGAGTTTTAACTCCATTTGAAAGTTCAGAGTAGAAAAGGATTCTTCATCTTTTCAACATGTTCTTCCTGCTTTCCAGATAAAAACCATCTTGAGTGGGTTCATTATTAGGGGCTACCTGGGAAAATGGACACTTTTAATCAAAACAGTCACCTTGGTTCTGGTGGTATCTTCAGGCCTCAGCCTTGGGAAAGAGGGCCCATTAGTCCATGTGGCCTGTTGCTGTGGAAACTTCTTCAGCAGCCTCTTCTCTAAGTACAGCAAGAATGAAGGAAAGAGAAGAGAGGTGAGCTTGGCTCATAAATTTTTATTTTCCCTGTCTGGATACTGGGGGTTTCATACAACTCATGCCTTGTATGTAAACATTTGCTTTGCAGGTACTTTCAGCTGCAGCTGCTGCAGGAGTTTCAGTTGCCTTTGGGGCTCCAATTGGAGGTGTGCTTTTTAGTCTGGAAGAGGTGAGACCTGGCAGTTCACTTGCGTCAGTAAATATATTTCAATTTGATACCTTTCTCCGAGATTACTCATTATTTTTCAAATATTTATATGCTTATTTTTTCCCCTATAAAAAAATCTATGATTTCCAATAATAAGAAACAACCAGGTATTTTAGCATAATCTGAGTAGCCGAAAACAAATTAGATGACTGAGTATGGAAATATATCCCTCTGCTGAGGTTTCTCTAGCCTCCAGCTAGCTAATGCATGGACCAAGCTGTCAAGCATTTCTTATACTTTCTAGATAGAAAGTATGGGTTTAAATTTTAAACTAGTTGCTACTCCTTTTCTGAAATCTGAACATGCCTTTTCTGATACTTTTGTGAACACATTCTGGCTGTGGTAAAGTCTAGTGCTCGCAGTAAAGTCAAATGAAACAGATCGTGGTGGTAGTTAAAGGAAGCACCCTCTGTGACACTCAGTGAAATGTTTATGGCCTTTGCTTGGTTTTAGGTCAGCTACTACTTTCCCCTGAAGACCCTCTGGAGGTCATTTTTTGCTGCTCTGGTGGCTGCCTTCACGCTGAGATCCATCAATCCTTTTGGGAACAGCCGGCTGGTGCTTTTCTACGTGGAGTACCACACCCCCTGGTACATGGCTGAGCTCTTCCCCTTCATCCTGCTCGGCGTCTTCGGGGGCCTCTGGGGGACCCTCTTCATCCGCTGCAACATCGCCTGGTGCAGGAGGAGGAAAACCACCAGGCTTGGGAAATACCCAGTGCTGGAGGTGATTGTGATAACAGCCATCACCGCCATCATCGCCTACCCCAACCCCTACACGCGCCGGAGCACCAGCGAGCTCATCTCCGAGCTCTTCAATGACTGCGGCGCCCTGGAGTCCTCGCAGCTCTGCGACTACATCAACGACCCCAACATGACCCGGCCCGTGGATGACATTCCCGACAGACCTGCTGGCCCTGGGGTCTACTCTGCCATGTGGCAGCTGGCCTTGGCCTTGGTGTTCAAAATTGTCATCACCATATTCACTTTCGGCATGAAGGTAAATTGTAGCGCGGGCCGCAGATGGGTTGCGTGGGCTCTCTGTGGCTCTGACCTGCCCCAGCTATGGGGCTGTCCCTGAGGTGCTGCTGGCCCTGCCCTGCCCCGCCCCAGCCTCGGGGCTGTCCCTGAGGAGCCCACAGGGCTGTCCCTGAGGTGCTGCTGGCCCTGCCCTGCCCCAGCCTCGGGGCTGTCCCTGAGGAGCCCACAGGGCTGTCCCTGAGGTGCTGCTGGCTCTGAACTGCCCCAGCCATGGGGCTGTCCCTGAGGAGCCCACAGGGCTGTCCCTGAGGTGCTGCTGGCTCTGAACTGCCCCAGCCACGGGGCTGTCCCTGAGGTGCTGCTGGCTCCTCTCCCTGCCCCAGCCATGGGGCTGTCCCTGAAGAGCCCACAGGGCTGTCCCTGAGGTGCTGCTGGCTCCTCTCCCTGCCAGCACCATGCCCTGTGGGCCCCTGTGGCAGCCCAGGACTGAGCCCTGCTTTTCCACCTTCCAGTCATCTGCGGTTGTGTTAAGTGAAAAAGAAATCTGTGTGGAAATCTAAACCCGCTGTTGCCAATAAGCAATTTCAAGATGATTCCCACTGCAGCTGTTTTTTAGCTCTCTCATGGATATGGACTATTTACATTGTTGTTTGTCTTGTTGGATTAATGTCTTAATGTGCCTCAAGGTAGCTATACTCAAGGAAGTAATAATTTTAAATTTACTATTTTACACATTTAGAGCATCACAGAAATATAAAAGTGACTGAAAAGTCTATTTTTGAATACTTTTAAGCACTGTAGCTCAGAAAAAAAGGGGAATGAACGAGAAGACTAACTGATGTGTCATTTGAATATTCTGGATTTGCAGCTTTTTCCTTCAGCAACTCCTTCTCCCCATAAATGAGTGATGAAAGGTCCAAGAACAATGTATCCAAGCTTTCCATATATACCAAGCTATTTGTGGTGAACTCTATATATCTGATTAATAGAGCACATAAAAAACAGGTTCTGTCTGTCTACAGCTCCCATTATCTGAGCATTTATTTGTGGATCTGGTGACTGCAGACAATGAGAAGCTTTTTTTAGTTATACACTGTATTTTATACCATGCTCAAAACTAGAGTATCTCATTTTTCACTTAAACACTACACTTGAAGTGAGTGTAGCCTTTCACTCTAGAAACTGATTTATGGCTGACAGCCCATTGTTATGCTTGTTCATGAAAAGCTTTGTTTCTTTATTTAAAATGTGATTCTTTATTTATCCTGTATATTTAAAAACTGTTAGAAGCAATTGACAGTTTCAACCTGTCTGTAAAAGAACGGACCAAATAGCTTTACCTACTAAATCTAGAAGACTCAATTGAGCTGCATCAGCAAAGTTAACACAATGTGGTGAGGGCTGTAGCATCCGCTGTTATCAGCCCTAGATGCCTCTGGGCTCTGCTGATGAGGTGATTAGTTAAGTTCTCTAGGAAGCTCAAGGTATATTTTCAGACTTTAAAAGATATAATAGGCTTTCCTTTCTGCAAACAACAAAAGCTGCCAGCAAGCCCCTGTCACAGATCTGAATTGTCTTCTCCAGCAGGAAATACATCTCTAACTTGCTGGTGCACTTGACATCTAAGTAGAAATTTCCTAAGAGGAAATGCACTTATCCAAGGCAAAATACATTTTCATTCTCTTTTTTCCCCCCCTCCATTCTCATTTAAATACTGTTTTTAATGATTTGTGACTTGTCTGTATAGCAAACAAAGTTATGATTCACACAGCTTTCTGGAAAATATATTGTAAACTGCGATGGAGAATTAGTTGTCCCTGAGCAGTCAGCCTCCTTTCTCTGAATTTTTACTCTTCATTTGACATTTAATTCAAAATCTGGTCTGATTTAGCCTGAAAAAGTAGTAATAAAACCATAAAGTGCTCCATCTGATAGAGGGTGAAATCATTATGTTATTTTCAGTTAAGCTTATTCTCAAGCCTATGACAGAACCATCAGCAGCTCCTGACCTCCTGCTGAGAAAGCAATAAAGGCAAAGCCAGGAACATCTTGACTTCAAAAGCAAACTATTATTCAGAAACAGCATTTGTCTCCCTATTTCAGTAGGATGCAGCAGATAGGGTTCAAAATTTCTTTAAAAAGTGCACTAACTTTTTATAAAGCTATTAATACACATGTAGCCACATAAACTCTGTCACTGCAGAAAACTGTCAGACCATGGGGATCAGCCCTGTAGGCTGCCATGAGGCTATGGAAACTTGGTTCTCTTACTGTCAATTAAAATTGTTTGATACTTGCCATTTTTGTCAAGGTGCTCATGTGTCTGTATTTCATTCCAGATCCCTTCAGGCCTTTTTATTCCTAGCATGGCTGTTGGAGCCATAGCTGGCAGGATGGTTGGGATTGGAGTGGAGCAGCTGGCATACCACCATCATGACTGGATCATCTTCAGGAACTGGTGCAGACCTGGGGCAGACTGTGTTACACCGGGCCTTTATGCCATGGTGGGAGCTGCAGCTTGCTTGGGTAGGGTCTCTGCTGGTCATTGCTTTGTGTGTGACCAACACTGGGGACATGCTTGGGGACATGCTCTGGAGGGGCCTGGGTTGGTGTTAGCTGCCTGTGTTGGCATTTCTGGGGGCAACAGAAGTTGAAATCAAGATGTGATGGGCTAAAGAGCAGGCAGCTTCCTCTGCTGGTTGCTCCAGTGATCTGCCAGATAGTCAGCAACAGAAAGGCTTGCAGTCATTGATGTCTACTCCTTGTAGTCTGCCAAAAGCAGAGAAAAGGAAAGAATAAATTGAAGTTAAGCTGCGGGTTTCCAAGCAGGAGTACATTTGATATACATTTGCTTGCATTTTTTCCATTTGATGTAATGAAATTCACTGTAACTGGACTTGCTTGTTTAGACTGTGCTCTCTCTCAGTGCAGGAAGCAAACATCCCAGTTTTTGCTAAATTTTAAGCTACACAGAGGCAAAAATTCTGGGTCTTATTGGCTGCGTGTCATGCTATGGTCAACTGAGCTGTATTTTGGTTTACATTTTGATCATAGGCCAATACTGGATTACACTCAATCAATAGGATTTATTGGATATAACAGCAGCGATCTGTTAACTATTAAAGCAAGATAATTGAAAAATATCTCACATATCAAATTTCTAGCCATAGAGTAAGAAGTATGTTACAAGCATACCATCTGAGCATGTTTTTACCTGATCATATATTTCCCCTCATGTACTTGCATATTCTATCTCCTTTTGTTGCTGTTATTGATATCATCATCAGTGTATGAAAAATAGTGGAGAGGCATAACACACGAGTAATGTGACTGGGTAGGTTTGAAATTAAAGATGTACTTAAGGAAGAGCTGGAAAAATTTTGGATTTGGATGCTCATATTGGAAAAGCAGGATCATTTGTGTGATCATTATAGAGGAAGGAAGGGTGGGATTTGCTTGAAAATTTAATGTCTGTAATGTAGATATCAACAACTGAGTTTAACTGTCTTGATACCCCTCACAGTCAAAACAGAAAAATGAGGTATGGGAAAGATCAGTCTCATCTGCCCATACACATCTAAAACCAGGCAAAGGAACAGATGAATTTGGCCTCAAAAGGGCCTGTTTTTATCTAGAGGTTATAAAGGCAATCTGGGTCATCCCTTTGGATGTGAACACCCACAGCAGAGTAGACGTTTTAAAAAAAGCTGGGATGAATCTTACTGTCCAAACAAGTAAAGCACTTCCTTTTTACTGTAAATGATCTTCATATTCATTAAATAAATAATGCACAAAAATGTGGCTCTGATGTTGCAGATGATCTGGTAGTCAGCATAGAATTATAGAGGCATTGAATATGCTGATTTGGAAGGGAGCAATCAGGATCATCAAGTCCAAATCCTGCCCATGCACAGAACACCCCAAAAATCACACCAAGAGAATTGTCCAAATACCTCTTGAACTGTCAGGCTTGGTGCTTTGACCACTTCCCTGGGGAGCCTGTTCCAATACTCAGCCACCAGGTTCTTCTGAGTGAAGAATCTTTTCCTGATATCCAACCTAAACCTCCCCAAGACAAGTTCAAGCCATTCCCTTGGGTCAACTGTCACTGGTCACCAGAGAGAAGAGATCAGTGTCTGCCCCTCTGCTTCCCCTTGTGAGAATTTTGTAGACCAGAATGAGGTCTCCCCTTAGTCCTCTCCAGGCTGAACAGGTTAAGTGACCTCAGCCACTCCACAAAAGCTTCCCCTTCCCACACTCCATCATCCTAGTGGTCCTCCTTTGGGTGGTTTCTAATAGCTTAATGCCTTTTTTTTTATACTGTGATGCCCAGAATTTCACATAGGATTCAAGGTGAGGCTGCAATTTCTTCCTCTTTTACACAGTCCAAATTAAGGTGCAGTAGTTTTTAATAGTGTGGTGAGAAATACAGTAGAAAGGTCACAGCTTGTACTTAAGCTGTTCTGTACCAAAGACTGTCTTGCCTGAAGTAAGAGAAATGGAGTATTAAATGATCCTTACTCTGATATTTGCTCTCAGCTTTTCACAGTCAGAAGTTTAAGGCATTCCTCAGATGAAATTCATATCTGGATCATAGTGTTAAGTAATCAACAATCGAATATTTCTGTATGCTGCTAGATAAAAAGATCTTTTAATGACCTGTTTCTGATTTTTCTCATCTAAAATTGGGCTGTATTTTGAGCCCCAAAAATAGCAGATTTATTACATTTACCTTTTGAACAGGGGCAAAGAAATGTTACCTAATAATTCAGAGATACATACACACTTGTCCTCAGTTATGTGATCGTTTTTATCCTTTAATGTAAACTGAAGGAGTGAGGAACTTGCTTATGAAATTAATATGGAAAGACTAGACTGAAAAATACAGCTACAGCCCTGCCTGTGGCTGCATGCCTGGATGGCCTCAAACCAAGTTGTACTCAGTTCAAACTGAATTACTATAGTGCTATCCAAAGCAAGAGTTTAAGCTGTAACATAGCTCTTGCAGTGGCCCTAAGCTGTTCCAAGGTAGGATTTTGTAACTGTGTTGTGCCCAAAGATAATGCTCAGCTTTCTCCTCAGTATGACTGCAGTAGACAGGCTGGTGTAGAAGAGGCTGCTATAGACAGGCTGGTGTGAAGGCCACCTCTTCACGTTCCTACCTGCCTCAGCCATGGCACTGAACTGATTCTTGGAGTCATTTAGAGGGCTAACAGCAGGATTCAGTTTTACTTTCTCAAGTATCCATTGAAGCTGATTTTTTTGGCATCCTTTTTGGATTTAAAGCTCTGTCTTTTAGTATTCATTGTTTGCTTTTCAATGCTAGCAACTTTGGCATGAGCAAGTTCCCTTAACCTTTGCGATGAAAATTGCAGTAGATGAAAAATACCTTTCTGCAGAGAAACAGACCTAAGAGTATAAGGGCAAAGTACTCAGCATAAATAATTGCATGCATTTTTGAGTGCAAGACTCAAAGATATAAGTGAGTTGCTTAGTATGTATACCAGCCCTGAGAGAAACTTGAGTCTTCTCCTTGTTGGCAGGTGGCGTTACTCGAATGACAGTCTCTCTGGTGGTGATTATGTTTGAGCTAACTGGAGGCCTGGAGTACATTGTGCCTCTTATGGCTGCAGCTGTCACAAGCAAGTGGGTGGCAGATGCCTTTGGGAAAGAGGGGATCTATGAAGCTCACATCCACCTGAATGGCTACCCCTTCCTGGATGTGAAGGACGAGTTCACGCACCGCACGCTGGCCACGGACGTGATGCGGCCGAGGCGGGGCGAGGCGCCTCTCTCCGTGCTCACCCAGGACAGCATGACCGTGGAGGACGTGGAGACCCTGATCAAAGAGACTGACTACAATGGCTTCCCAGTCGTGGTTTCCAAAGACTCAGAGAGACTTATTGGATTTGCACAGAGACGAGAGCTGATCCTTGCAATAAGTAAGTAGAGTGTCAATGTTCGAAAGATTGATTTTGAAAGGGGTTTAGACAAGATAGGAGGTTAACAGTGTTATTCACCTTGAAGAATGGACAAACAAGCACCCCCAATCTTCAAATCTGACCTTTTCTGGGTAGTAGGACATAGAAGCTTTTCTATTGCATCATACCACTGATAGAATTTTGTGGGCTTGACCCTTGTGGGCTTAATTTTGCTGTCAGTCAAAAGAGTAAAATAAAATTCTTCTAGAGACAACAGAGAGAAACTCAACTCATATGCCAGAATTTTTGTCAGAACCAGACCAAAAGCCAGTGTAGTGATTAGTTTCTTTCCCTCTTCATGGGCTTCCAGAATGGGCTGGGGCAGTCATGAACTTTGGTCACCCATTGATGAAATAGCCTGTGCTCCTTTCTGTTGCTCTGTCTCAGTTTTTCCTCACATGCAGGCTTTTAGTGCTACAGGTGGAAAGTTTTCAGTGCACAATATTTTTTGGTAAAGATGTGTGAATTTTGTCTGGAATCCAGTGGATAGCTGGCTGGTTACCTGAGAGTCCAAGTCCAGGTCACTAAAGATTTTGACTGTCACGTCCTTTCCTGGTTGATCTGATGACAGAGTGGGGATTGTAGAACAAGTGTATTGGATGAAAGCAAGTTTTTTCACCTTTTCTGGACCCAGGACACCCAGAAATGCAGAGATCTGCAAGGCTGGCCCACTGTCTGCTCCCATTTCTGGCAGTCTTGTGGTGTTGAGGGCCAGCTGGGCAGGCAGGCAAGATGCCATCTGGGCATGGTTGCCTTGGAATTTGCAGGGGAGTGGAATGTCTGGTATATCCAAACCTCCTTGACTTGGAATTATTCTTCTCTGCATGGTTTTGTTTCATCCCTGTTGTTCAGGCACCTTAAAAAAGCTGTTGTCTCTGATGGAAATTCACATATTTTTCAAACAAGAAAATTAATAAATGGAAAATTTGGGTTACTTTGAAGGTCACTTTTCAGCTCAGTTCCCACAAAGCTAAAACAAAAATTGATGTCTTTAAAGCACTGTTTTAGATGTATTTAGCCTACCCTGGGTCTGTCTTTTATACTGCCCATGTTATGTCATGACTTTACACTTGGTACCTTCCTAAGTTAATAGTCATTTGCACCTCCTTTTCAGGAAGGTTTGTCAGTGGGAAATTGCATGGACTGAAGATGAAAAGCCCTTACTTTAAAATCAGAAAGATCAGAGGCTGCTTGAAGTCAGTCAAAGAACTTTGAGGAACTGAGTCTTTTGTTTCAGGTCATAAATGGCAGTGTGGCTGAATGGGCTTGCTGGAAGATGTGAGAAAATGTCAGGCTATGAATGGACAACAAAGAAATCAGTTAAAATTAAACTCAGTAAACATTTAGATCAAAATGCTTTCCTGTTCAAAAATTGTTTGACATCTGCATTTTTCAGAGGAAAAGGTACTGTTTTCTGATCAGTTCTAATTAAGAGCATCTTTTATAGAAAATGACAGAGAACTTAAATTTAAAATTAAATTGTTATATGCATCTATAAGTTTTTCTAAAATCCTCAGCCACCAATGATTTTGGGTAACCCACCTTGGGCTGAGTGTGAGTGCTGTCATTCTGTGCTGGCACTATGATAAATGGTTAATCTTTCCAGTACGGTTTGTGTCCTTGTGACTTAAAATCTGGATTTGGTTTCGAAAGACACAGTATATGGTTCCAGTACAGAGCAGGACAAACCATGCTAGCAACTTTTTGATTGCTAATCCTCTTTCTCTGAAGTTGCTTTGCCTGAATTTCAGAGTTGGTGTTGTTGATCACTACCACAAGGGTAGCCAATGTGTTCTGTACCTCCACCTCAGCTTGCTTCATGGTTGTGATCATGGAGCCATTACACCAATTCTCCTTAAGCCATAAAATTGCTTAGTAAGAGAAAAATATCACACAAGGTGAAGCATCTCTGATTCATCTGTTCAGGTTCACCTGCTCAGCCTGACAGAGATACTGGAGTTACATCTCAGAACAGTATAAGCCCCACCCATGCAGCACTTCAGCCAGGAAATGAGGTCTTACCAAAAGCAGAGTCAGGCCCACTCCAGTATCTCTTCTTTCACCAGTATCTCTTCTTTCACCAGTATCTCTTTTTTTTTTTATGGCATTGTACCCTGCAGAATGCCTCCTCAGTTTTAACAAGCTCTGGCACATCTACATAAGAAAAATTTGCACTTCATGGAGACATGGTTTCAATCAAGAATTTCAGCTTCTTTCTCAGGCCCAATTAATTGTGCATCAGTAGTATGGTGGTCCAGGGAATACTCTGGGGAAATACTCCAATTCCCTCACACATCTATCTGCCTTCTAGGATGAAGGCAATAGCTGCTGAGTCTTGCATCAAATACGTGTTCCCACAAAGCTATCTGCCTCATGATTTATCCCTATGTAATGTCTTTCCTACTGAGTGGAGCATGCTCTATAAATGCATCAAATACCTGTAAAGTGAATGGCAATGCCATTGCCAATTGCTTAGCAGCATTCTCAGGAGGATTGTGTCCTTCCATTGATCCTTGTTGAGTAGGTAGGCAGGTGGGGTGGCAGAGTCACCCTCTGGGAAGAGGTGTCTACATTTTAGATGACACCTACTTTTCAGTCTTACAGAGGCAGAGTTTTGACACTGTAAAGCTTTTCTTCAATTTGGCCAACTCCAGAGGCACCATGCAAAAGGCAGAGCCTTGGACAATAGCCAGGTGGCCTGTATAATATGCTTTTCCCAGTGTGGAGTTGAGAGATCAACATAGTTGATATAGGCTGTGAAATGTGAACCCCTGAATATGAGAGGCTGTTTCACATTTGGGATAATTAATTCACTCTCTAGCTATGACAAGAGCCTGCTTAGATTGCTCTGTAAAGCCAGACATTGTCATCCATTTGCTTTGCTCTTTCTGTTAATCTGTATCTGTTTTTCTTACCCACTGACTGCAAAAATTATCTGCTCTTCTGTTTTACCTTTACTCCCAGTCCCCCATCCAGTGAGACTGCATACAAAATCCACCATTTTTCTGATGCCACTGAATTGACTCCATAGTACTACATCATTCAAATTTCTCTAGAGAGATGTTTGACATGAAAGAGTGAAATCATGGTTTTGGCTAATCACTGCTGTTCAGGGTCACTGCTGCCTTGGGAACAGCAATGTGGTAACCAAAATGCTTGGCCCTATTTCTTAGGGTGCAGCTTTAGGAAGGAAATACCTAGCTGTCAAAGGTTTTTATCAAAGGGTGGGAGTTACCTTCAGTTTGATTAATGTTACCTCTTAGCACAGATCATGTATCAAAGAAGTATGCAGGCATATTCACACTTGAAATTGGATGTATGAATTGAAACAAGCTGAGACAAAACTAACATCATTCCTGTAAATTGCAATAGGGCTTGTAATATGTGGGGTGAGAAGGTTGAGACTCACATACTGTACTGATGTTAGGTTTGAACCAGCACTGCTCCAGCTCCAGAAATATTACAAGACAATGATCGGTGAATGTAAAAAAAAAAAAATTGCAGCTGGAACATGTTGGAAACCATCACTGTCTAGATTACAAGTCACAGGAGCAGGTTTCTCACTCTGATTGATGGCAGAGAGCTCCAAGAATATTTACATATGCTTGGAGTATGAGTTCAAGAGCAGAAGCAACCTATGTTAATTGAAAGTAATAATTTAACTATTTCCAAGGATTTATTAAAAAAACCAAGTTAAACCCTCAGAGCCAAACACATGATATGCTTATTCTGGGGAGTGAAAAGTTGTCTGTCATTTGGAAATCTGTCTCATATAATGTTTATACCCTGTAGTGTTGAGCAGAGATGAGGTAAACTCTACAAAGAAAATAAAGTACTCCAGTGGTAATTCTTGGGGCATGCTTTAAGTAGAAGGCTTATACTGATCATGCCAACTCCAGATGTAGTAATGTTCAATTTGTAGTTTGATCCAAGTATTAATGATAGCTTTTGAACTTCTGAAAATGGTCACACATGTGTTGTTTACAGCTATATTTTTCCTCCCTTTACTATTTTTCCTTTAAGTAGGAAGGTAATTTATTTTTCCTTTCTAAAATCTAGCTTTGCAAACAATTTAAGGCATTAATTGTAAACACACAAAGTTTCCCTTGCATGCCAGCAAGGTGTGCCGATCTAGAAAAACACCCACACCACCCCTGGACCCCTGGAATGTGAATTTGTCTTTCCCCAGCTTTGTGTTCATAAATCCATTTACCATGTCCACATTTTCCCAAACCCACTGAAAAGTTTTGCTCCAAGCCAGCTGGGATCTTACACAGCTGTTGACTCCACTCCTTCAGACATGTAATAAGGTTTCTGTTGTGATTCTCACAATGGAGGAAATTACATACAGTGATCTGAATTTGACAGAAATTGGATTAGTGAAGTTTGTAAATGCAATGAGCTGCATATTTATTCAGAAAAGTATTATCCCTACCAAGGAAAAATATGTGCCTATAAAAATACCACATTTGCTTCGAGGGAGTGATGGCTCAAAGAAGTTCAAGGTTACTCAGTGACCCAAATTTCTGGGATTTCAGTACATTAAAGACAAAATCAAACCTTGCTTTCCAAAGGAGTGATTTTTTTTATTACCAAACTTAATCCACTGTCTGCACCAATTTTTGTGCTGTACAGAGAATGCGCGCCAGCGCCAGGATGGGGTGGTGAGCAACTCCATCGTGTACTTCACCGAGGATCCCCCAGAAGTGCCACCCAACAGTCCCCACCCGCTGAAACTGCGGAGAATTCTCAACCTGAGCCCTTTCACCGTCACTGACCACACGCCCATGGAAACTGTGGTGGATATCTTCAGAAAGCTCGGGCTCCGGCAGTGCCTGGTGACTCGCAGTGGGTGAGTAGCTGGCAGCCAAGTGAACATTTTTATTTTGTCTTATTTTGTGAGTGGATGAATAAGGGAACCTCACCTGTGTCTCTCCAGGGCAGCAAAAGAAGTCAGACTTGGAACCAAAATGGTGCAGGGTGTTATATTTCATTCTGCTCCCCCAAATTCTTAGTGTATTCTCATTTACATAAAGTAAAAATAAATAAAAAATAAACTGTTCTGACTTCCACTATCATTCAGTTTTCAGCAGAGGCAGATCTGGAAGCAGTGTTGTTTGCAAAGAATATGCCTGTTTTGAGACATCCAGCTAGATTAGATGTTTGTGAAAATTGTGATAAAGGTATCACTGGAGGAAAATGACTCCATTCAACTTTCTTTATTGGATAATGGAAAGGTGTATAAACTAAAGGCCCTCAACAGCTGAAGGAGGTGGGCAAAAATGAAATTAGGAGAATAAAAAGCTGCACCATGTGGACTAGACATAACATCCCATAGTTCCAATGGAATTTGAGATATTTGGGCATTGTGGCTCATCCCAGCATCTAGTGATAGCCAAACCACAGCCATCACTTCCAAATGTGGAAGACTAAAATTTATTCTCCTGTTAGAGAGTCTTTTTGTTATTCAAAAATATTGCATGTCAGTTGTTACTGTCAATGCAGTATCCTCAGCATTAAGAAAATAAGAACCATTATTGGGACACAGATAAAGGTTCTGATTTTAGGTGCCTGGATTCAGAAATTTATACCTGGAGTTTTAGAAGTTATGTGAAATGAAAGGTGGAAAAACTATTAACAGTGACATAGTTTCAATATTCAGTGCCTAATGGTCTTCAAGGACTGGAATTAAAAAGCCCTTGAATACTGAAGGTTATGAATTTTTTTGACTCTTGGGGCCAGACATCCCATAGGCCTCATCTTTCTTGACAGATATAATTCATTTAGGTTCACATAAATGAGAAATTATCATTTAAATTTGAAGGAATTATGCTGTCAGTGAGAGTTTCAGAAACCCTGTGCTTTAGCTTACTTTGTGTATTACCAACCACTGATACCTCGGGTTTGACTGCTGGTCCTCACAGCCTGAGCCTAAAGAAACTTATTATTTTGTTGTACCAATTATTAATTCTTGTAGCTCCTCATTCAGTCATGTTCCCAACAACAAGAGGTAATAAACCAAAGTATTTCACTTAACTATCGTGGCTGGGGTAGCAGAAATACATGAGGTGAGAATACTTTTATAAAAAGGTAATAATCGGGGAATACATGAGATGGACAGTACTGTATGGAAGCACTCACAAAATGTCCCTGCAGCTGAACAGGGAACAAACCTGGATGATATATGAGATTGTTGACCTTTCACTTCCTTTTCTCCTATAGGAGGCTGCTGGGTATCATAACTAAAAAGGATGTATTAAGACATATGGCTCAAATGGCAAACCAGGACCCTGAATCTATCATGTTTAACTAGACTGGTAAAGAAGAAGAAAGTAACCCCACAGGAATCCCTTCTAGATTAACACGAAGGCTGTGTTTGCTGTTTCATCTTGTTTAAAGAGAAAAAGGTAACAGATATGAGGAATGGCCTGATATGCCTCTGACAGAGGGAGTGGATGCAGGACAGCACTTATTTAATGAGGGAGGCAGTTTAGAAGCTCTGAGCAGCTGCAGACATCAAGCTGTGTTTCCTTAATGAGGTTCCCAAGAGCTCAGTTGGAGCACTGGTGGGTGTGAGTGATGCTGGGCTTGGAGAGAAAGAGCCACGAGCATCACTGGGAGGCATCAAGGTCACAGTAACTCCTGAGGCAGGTGTGAAGGGTAGCAGACACTGTTCATGTACAAGCTGCTAAGAGACAGAAAGGTTTGTGTTCCAAGCCATTGAGTGTAGATGAGTAGTGTCAGTTGCTTTTGTTACTGGAATCATGGCTATTTGTTTGCTACTGAGTTATACCATTTTCATGACAAACAAAAATTCTCATATTTTTAAATGAAAGACTTTGCTATCTTCATTTATTTTGTAAATGTTTAATGAATCAAGTCAAATATTTAATGAATCAAGTCTTAAGAGTAAGATTATGCCTCAAATCACTTTAAAATGTAGTGTCCCTTGCTCCCTGCTTTAGTCTTTTGAATTTTATACTGCTTAGCATTTCTGTCAACCAGCTTTCCCTTATAAATGTTGAAATGGGATTTATTTGTAAGAATTTATTATCTCTCTATGCAATTTTGCATACAAGTACTGTAAAATTTAGTATTTTGTGGTTTGCTGTGGTAACTGGAAAAAACATAGAAGCCCATAAAATAGTTTTCAAAAGCACTAAAAGGACAGTGGTATCTGTCTCTCATCAGTGTTAGTGACCAGAGATTGAATCCCTCACTGTCTTCCCTTATGTACATCACAATTTTTCACAAGTGAATGACATTCTGCATTGATTCTTGGTTGTCCACTTAGGTCCTTTTTGTCATTGCTCTTTCTTGGCATTTGTCTGTATTTGCCAAGAGATGGCTGAAATTAATTTAACAGTCATAGACCCTTATTCTGTAAGAGATCTACTTTTTATGCACTTGTCAGTCATAGGGCTGTGGAATTCCTCTCTACAGCACTGTGACTGGATAAGATCAGAGGGACTGAGAATGCAAATGATCATAGGAAAGCTTTAAGTATTTATCTGTTTGCACCAAGAACACAAGATTTACCAGACCCTGGTAGAGACCTCTAAGTCACTCAGGTAAAAATGTTACATTTTCCTAAACCCTTGTTCTGGTCCTCTGTGAGATAAAGAGGGTCAACCCTTTAGCCAATACTGCTATCAGCAACAGAATACCAAATTGTACTCCCTGTAACACATAATTCACACTGCCCTTCCTTTATAGATGCAAACTTAAAGACTGGAGAAAGGTTGTGCTCTGAATCCCCTTCAGACCTCATGGTCCCTTCATTTAGGCATCTAAGACCTCTGGTATTTTTGTTCAAATTCACCCAGAAAACTGGTGGTGTTTGGATGCTCCTCATGGATAGAGATGACTTTCCATGCCAGAACAGCCTGTTGCTCACCCCAGCCCAATGCCAGCCTGTTGATCTAACGTGGGCAGTGTACATGATTATTGTGTCCCTGAACTGAGACAGCTGCTCAGGTGCACCCTGAGTTGGATGCTGAAGTTCTATGTCACAAATTCCTCCCCTTATCTCTGGGGACCCTGCTTCCTTCTGGCCTGTGTCCCACTGCATTCACAGGGTATGGCCTGAATTGCTGAAGTAAAAGAAACGGAAGCAGAGGGATAATTTTAATCTGTTAAGTACTCCACCTAACAATGGTGTGTGCAACAGACTGACATAAAGATATGTAGTTCTGGCCAAAGCCCATAAATATTGCAGTGTATACTTTTTGTTAACTGAACAGCTGCAGTACAATGTATTATTAATGGGATAATATTAACACCATGTAAACTGTAGGACTGAGCAACCCCTTTCCTCTGAAAATAGGAAATAGAACATAATGTGATTATTTCTTACATTTTTCTATGAAGCTGTCAGCAGCCAAACTCATAAAAAACCAACCAAGTCAATAACAATGCTCATAAACACTAGATTCCCTCATTTGAACAGAGAAGCCATCATAAAATCAGCTCATTCCCACAACTGAATCCAAATGGGGTTTTATACAATTGTCAGTCTCTACCCATAACTTCTAGAATCTAAGGGATGTAGACTAAGCTAAAAAGGCTGATTTTTGAGAGCAATCTCATTCTTGGATTAAAACTGTATGACCATATTCTACTTTCCATGTTTGCTAACAGCAACCAATACAGTGTATCAACACTGAAAAACATTATAATTTTATGAGAAAAAGACATGGATTTGCCTAACTGAGGTTAATCTGGCTGTGAATACAAATTCACGTATGTATTGACTTGTCTTATCAGGTTAAACTCCATCTGTGGTTATGCATTGGCATGGATTTGTGTGGTTAATTCCCATTAATACCCAAAGGCCTGATTACTGAAACCAAGTCACCCCTGTGATAGCTTGTTGCCTTGCCTTATTTGACTACTTAGGAGGAGCCCTCAGGACTTAAAAACAAGACCCAAAAAACCAACATGGTGATTTGTAGCAAGCACCAGCAGAAGGAATTGAGATTTATGTAGTTGTTGTGAATGCAGTTTGACCCTGGACTGCCACCCAAGTAAAAGGCAGGGGAATGGGTGTACAGCTCTCTTCTGTCAAACACATTCCTCTCTAGATGGAAAGCTCTAAATACCTAAGGGGTCAAAGGAAAAAGCTTTGGACATGTAACCATGTAGTGCTGCTCCTTGTTCCCGTGTCTGTTCAGAAGATGTTAAACCAGAGCAGGGGCTGCTATCTGGCTGTCCAGGGGTGGCACTCTCATGGCTAACTTCAGCTGCCTGGTGTTATCATCAAGGCTGAGGCTGATGCTAGAATGACATGGAGGGCTTTGAGACAGGACAGACTTTGCTAGTTAGAAAACTTCCTCCATGCTACAGCCTTTATTGCTCTGCACAGTGGTGTCTGAAAGGGAACACTCTTAATATAAATTAATAACGTGCTTATTAATCAAAAAATCAAAAAATCAAAAAATGCAGTTATGATGTAATGATTTATTTCCCCTTAACAAGCCCATTAGCAGGCATTGTTTTCCGTCTGTATTCCAAAATTTGTTGCAGAAGGCACTGAATAGACTCCAAGAGGCACAGATCTCAGCCCTCTTTGTTTGAATTTGTACAAGGTAGTCACGAAGCATTATCAATCTGAGTTACACGAGCATTTTAGTATATACTGCTGAATTATGCAACCTCAGTTCAGTCCTTCAAGCAGTTGGCCTTCTAACTATTCTAAAAATGCCCAACTAAACCAAAATAAAAATCTTTAAGTGATGGAGGTTCAGTATTGTACCTTTGTTTTGCATGAACTGTGTTAAGTTACTTTCAGCTTCTGTTGTGTCCTTGAAGCAATCTGTACCGGAAAGTTTAATAATAAAGTACGGAAATGGATGACATTAGAAAGACCCTTTGGCTGTCCCAGTGACACTAATTATTAATTCTCATGCTTTGAAGAAGCAGAAAAAGAATGTTTAAGGATTACAGAAGACTCACTGATTCTGTGTTTGAATGACATTATATTTATGACTATAGTTTTGCTTTGGCTCTGTTTGTTGTTTTGGGGTTTTTTTTTAATTGTAGAAAACAGTGTATCTGTTGCACCTTATAAAAAACAATGTTTGGACTCTATTTTTTAAATAAAACTGACTTACAGTACTGGAAACATTTCTTGTATATCTTATTAATTAGAAAATTATTTAAGTTAATGTCGCTATGATTTTTGTGCTTTCTTTTCTCACTTTCTCACTCACAGGGATAATTCATGTCTGAGTTCTAGAGATCTAGGATATCCAATTAAATTACAGGTTAGGTAATATTAAGAAGGGAGTTGGTAAAGTTCATGCAGTGGACTTCAGAGAATCAGTCTTGATAGCTGGCTATTTTATTTTCAGAGAAAAATGTTTTTTCTTCAGCATCAGAAATACCTTAGAAATCTAAAAAGAGAAGCAAAATCATTTATCTAACCAGGTTATTCTGTCTAAAATGGTCATGAAACTTTAAAACTAGATGTTGCAAAGCCCCTATGATATATTTTTGGATACATTTTTCAATTGCACATTAATTCAAAGCTAAGATCAAAGACTGAAAATGACAGGTTCAATCATCCCCATTTAATTGGATGAAACATATGGTAAATCTATGTCAGAGACTAAATTCTAGGTAGTAGCAAAGAATATGGGCTTGATCCTGATCAACACTAAGGTGAACATGGCAGCAATATCCTAGCTCAAATTAAATTACTCATTTCAGAATGGCAGTCCCATGGCCTTCAACTCATTCCATGGATTGCTGTGCCCTTAACACAACCCAAAACCACACCATAACCCAGGAGTCATCAGGCATGCAGCAACTTCAGTAAGTTGTAATAATTCCTGTAGTTTGTATTTGGTCATGGGGTTCTGAACTTTAGACTTACCTGTCATCACTTGTGGTGGTGCAGCTGGGAGATGGAATAGAAAATGTTCACAGCATTTAGCACTGCTGTGGTGCAGCTGTGCTCCACACACCCTGGCCTGCTCTCCAAATCCAAACAAGCAGCCTGTTATCATCCATGTGCCTTCTGGCTCCTTCAGGGGAGGCTCTTCCTCCCCATCTATTTTCTACCAGCTGTTTTATTCCCTTGTGCTGTTCTGCTCCTCTGCTCCAAATGTGATCTTGCTTCTAGCTCCCCACTGCTGTGGTCTCCCACTATGCCCAATCTCACAGACACTGTATCCCAAATAAGAGAGGTGCATCTCCAGTGGAGGGCCTTCACTTGTGGCAGACAGGATTTTGCACTGCTGCTCCCTGGAGGACACGGCAAACACAGTGTTGCTGGAATGCTGCACAGAGTTTTTTGATTGTTTTTTTTTTTTTGGCTTGCTATCTCTTAGGATCTGGTTATTGAGTTGTCTCTGCCCGAATCAAGGTGCAAACAGTAAATGTCAAGTAGGGAGAGATAGAAGAGAGTGAGGCAAAGAGAAAGAGAGGGTGAGAGAGAGACTAAGCAAAGATACCACCACCACATGGAATCCTGTGATGTCCTGATGGACCTTTTTCATCCTGGCCTGCTTGCTGGTGGGGGTTCCTGTGTTCTTGTGGAGGTACCACTTTTCCACAGTCCAAGTCCTTGTTATCCATAAGGCATGGGTGCTGTTCCCACCCGACATGGGATGGCACTTGTGTAAGATACTTCCTTCCTCATAGTTTGCCTTGGTGGGAGCTTTTGTCCAGAAAGTTACCTAGATCTGCCTCACCAGATGTGGCATCTTCCTGTTGCTGCTGTCAGTGCTTTCCCCACAGTTTGCCCAACAGAATTTTGTCCAGTGTGTTAATTCCAAACTTTCACCTCTGGTTAGGTCTGGTATTACTGCCTTCCTTGTTGCCATCTGTGCTTCTTCTAAGGTCCTGTTGTGGTAGCTTCCCTTGTGGGAACT